TTCACCATGGCAACAGGTAAATAAAAGACAGCGCCTCCATTTTAATCCAGTGGATGTAGAGATATTAATGCATGTGTAGCAGACGGTGCACGTTTATCTTTAAAAGAAGAGCCTGAGTCAGAGCGAGGAAAGTGTAAATAAGTTAACCATAAAGTTAATAAAAAAGTTTTATTCAGTGTTGTCTGTTTATTCATCATTTATCAGACTTACATAATCCTTAATGAAGATAAAGTGGTGGAATCTGACTGTGTATCAGGCTGTAGATACATTAGGCTGCATTATATTAATTATATACAATAATATATTTGTTCAGATTTAATCTGATGAGGAAAAACACAGGAGGCAGCAACTGAAAAATAGGAAGATTTAAAACATAAAGGCTAGGCTATAGATCAAAGACATAAACTCACAGTCTGACCCAGTAATAATATGTTTGGTGATTTGCACTTAAAAAGACGTTGAGGTTAAAATACAGTAGATTTTAAAATGTAGTAAATTTAAAGACTGAGGAATTATGTTCCATCAGTGCAACCAATGACATCAGTGATAGAGATCATTAGGCATTGATACTATGTGTCTAAAGCTTCATACTGATTTTTAAAATTTAAATAATTAGACCTACACATTATGTGCAACAAACATTTCAGAGCTGCTCAAACTAAATCTAATCTAATCTAAAAAATAATAAATATAAAAAGGACAGAGGTTTGATTCTGAGCTGAGGGTGAATTCTTGCTGTGTTTTATTTGATTGTTAAGACAAAAACTGATGTCCAAAGAAATGATTGATGTGCATAAATTCAGTAACTTAAGACAGTCCTGAGTAACAAACTAATATCCAGCAGGATTTAGACTGTGACAGACGGTAAATCTCCGCTAATAAATGCGCTTCGATACAAGCTTTGACACGGACTGAATGAATGAGGAAATGAAACAGCGTATAAGAGGGAGGAGACAGAGAAAAACTCAGGGTTTATTGAAGAAATCCTGTCAGCGAGCAGGTTATGTTCACAGAGTCTGTTACCATGGTGACTGACTCAGAGTTTCAGTTACCTCTCTTTCTGGAACGGATAACTCAGAGTTTCCCTCATCTCAGGGTTAACTTACTCTGAGTTTTCACATAACCCGCTTTCTGGAATACCCCCCTGATGCTCGTTTTGTTTCTGTTTATCGCCGACTCATCACTACTACAAATACAGCTGAAGCCAGTATCTCACTATCACTATCCTCACTCATATTTTAAGAAGCTACAAATTATATTCAGGCACAAAATTTTTAGAACATTGCAGATCGGCGCATTTTAAGCTCGTCTCGTGAATCTTTTGTCTGAACTGGGCGTAAAACTATAAATTCAAGACACTTAAAAGGAATACTTCACCCACAAAATGACCCTTTGTAAATCAACTAGTCAGGCCATCTTACCTAGAATGCATGAAGAAAATTGATTTTCTCGCATGCCTCCAACACAAACATATTGAGGGGGTCAGCGTTTACCAACAGTAAAGCTTTATCAATACATCTGTTTACAAACTCTCACACAGGTCGTGACATATAAGCAAGTCTCATTTATCCAGTCGTATGAACTCAACACATGCACTTTTCACTAAAAAACCTTAGTATTGGAGTCTGGCTTTTAAAAGTGCATTGATAAGTCTCACTTTCACTTCAGGATTAAATACCTCTTTAGCAAAAAATGCATAGGTTTAGGAAGTACTGAGCAAACGCATGGATAAATTGACATGGATTATTCTTTACGAGTTGTGTGAGAGTTTGTTAACGCATGATTTAATATAGCTTTGCTGTTTAATGCAAACCCAAATCAACCAATAAATCAATTAAGTCTAAGTTTTAGGGAAGGCATGTGAGAAAAACAGTTTTCTTCTGGAGACTTTCTTCACAAAATTCAAGGTAACACAGCATGACTAATTGATTCACAAATTATTCTGTGGGTGAATTATTCCTTTAACTCTTCATTACACAGAGTAAGATCACATCAGTTACAGGAGCATACCTTCTGAAAGTATCAAAGACAACAGAGTCGTCGCAGTTAATGGCTTCTGGGTGGTTTGGTGGCAGGCACACGTTGCCCAGCTGCATCTCATAGCAAGGGATCCCATGGTGCACCACAGTAAGGCTCGGATAAAAAGAGGACCACCCTGAAAAAAAAACAAAAAAAAAACAGATGGTACATTAAAGATTATTTTCATCATGAAGCTGTTTATGTAAACAAAAAACTAGGTATTTTGCATTTTGCAAACAACATATGGTCACGGGAAGGTTCTGTTGGCAAAGATCACTTTCACATGCTGCAACAAAACCTGTTTTGGACAACGTTTTGCTTTCGTTTCTTGCCAACAAAGCTGACATTTTTCTTTTTTTAAATGAGAACACAACCTGCAGTCTAAATTGGTACTGAAAAAGATTAAAAATTGTCTCCAAGATTTTTTTTTTTACCTTTATTTTTTACAAAAAAAGGGTGATCCAATCTGCATTCAGCTGTTAAAAGACCATCATCAGATGAACCAGGGTCAAAGGTCAGTTTGAGAACTGCCTGGCCAAAAGAAACCGTCTCTTCGTGGCTCACCAACCGCAGCCCCTCTGAACCATATCTCTGTAAATGAATCCAAAGATCACAAACAGGAGTCTTAACTCACAAGCAAGATGAGCAGTGAACATCACCAACAAAGACTTGGTCTGATAACTTGGTGTCTATGATGCCACCACTGCATAACATCAAGGGTGTAACATGTTTCACTCATGCACTGTTAGGCTGGCTGCCACCTTGTGGACAGTACAAGCCATTGATATGTCTACTGACATCTCATTGAATATTCACTCATCTAGTCAGCAGTGCAGCAACACGAAAACATACTGTATACGACTACAAAGTTTTCAAAAGCAAAGCAGATTATTCTGAAACATTTTAAGACACACTAAACGTGTCGCCTACCTTGAGAAAGGAGGAAGAGGAGGATGGCATCATGGTTTCATCATCTGAGTCGTCATCAGAATCCCCAAGTTCATCAGCCTCCTGCCACTCCACATTAGGACCCCGATGAAAGCGCAGGCGAGTTCCTGAAAATCAGCACAACAGTGTGACATGATGAATAAGCAGATGTGTGTTGATGCTGAGAAGAGAGTGCTGGAAAGTGGGTGCAATACCACTGTTTGAACACTGGAGGTCAGAATATCTACACAAATGTTTGTGATTCATGCCTGTCCTGGCTGTAAAGGGAGGATCCTTTTATAAAAGTGTTAACAAAGGATTAGTTTCAGCACCTCTACAGCTTCTGTCTGAACTTATCTTAATTACATATTTGGCTATCAGAAGCACACTTTGAAGGCAGAGCAGTAAAAAGCCTATCAGTGCTGTTTGATCATATTTATTACATGTCTGTTCACAAACATCTTGGTGGAGTTTAGCTTAAAGGTATACTATGCAGGATTGTTGGATGCTGTTTGTAAATACGCTCGCCAAGAGAAAGTAAAAGCTAACCCCAGGTTCACTCTTGTTTGATGTATCACCTCGCTATATCTGCAGTTTTTTTGGGTGCTGTGTCTCTTGGATACCTGCTGCTTACGACCTAGCACCTGGTTGCTACCTTTTTATAAAGCCCCGATTGTCACCTGAGCGCTGTGGGGGTACACACCCATAGACGTCCGGAGCACAGAAAATAAGAAAATACAAGCAGAGGGCAGAGTGTCTGCAGAAAAACACACCGCCACACACTTCTGGTGAGTCATGAGTAATGATTGAGAGGGATTATCACTGTATGAGTCTATACAATGTTTTTTAGAAAAATCCTTAAGTGTTCCTGAACTTACATTTGTTTGAAAAAAATGGTATGCTTTACATTTGTGTACGTAAACAATAACAGATTTTGGAAAACATGAACGCAGTGTAAACATGTACTCCCCACCAGAAAACAACAGACTGTGGATTGTGCCTTCAAGCTGTGAGGTGTCATGCTGAAGCCATTTTTTTCTTCACAAGAAATTCTTCGAAAAGCTCAGGTTTCACTTCAATGTGTGTGTGCGTTGGTGCATGTATACAGTATGTACACAAGTATGTGTGTACCTTTAAGGAAGCAGTGCCAGGCTGTGGTGGGCCAGGAGTGAGACCAGGCCATGTCTTCATCATCAGAAAAAGATGAGGACATTGAGAAAACTCCAGACTCTGATTCACTGCTGGCCTGTTGTAAATAAAAAACAAATCTTACAATGACATCAGATGACATCAGTAAAATAAACAATTGCAGTACACAGTACATGTCATACACTGTTTACTAAGAATTATTCACTGGGTCAACAGGAATGAATGATTGTTAGGTTTTCAAAGGTCGAGGTTAGAAGTGAAAGGTTACCCTGACACGCCTGCGCTCCCTGAGGTGGCCTCTGGATGGGTTGGGTGCACTGCTGGCTAATGGGGGACGGGCGTAGGAATGTAAACTATTACTGTTGCCAAAGATGTGGACTGGAGATGATCTGTGAAAAAACGAGAATATCATAAATATATATCATGATCACGTAAGGTCACTGGTGATACTTGTACTTTTCCTTAAAGTATGAGTAATATTTATGATCCTCAGACAGCTGAATGTAGTCAGCAGCAGCAGAGGTATTCAACCACAGAAGGTTAGTGAGTCAGCTTTACTGTTGAAATGATTCACCTTAATGATTGCAAAGAAATCAACATAATTTCATCAGATGTTTCATGACACATTTTCTTAATCATGTGGCAAACTTTCCAATCTTGCTTTGTGTGTGCTTGTGTTCTTACAGAGGTTGACAACTTCTTTTTGAGTTTACACCACTGTATGCCCTCGTCACACTTATCTGATATTCACCCAGTTCATCTTGGTACAAACCTCTTGTGTGGGGCGCTCTTCAACAGGGGGCTCTGAGGACTGGTGGCAATGTTGGCCAGCTCAGCGAGCCAGTTGGTGCTGGGGGAGCAGCTGAGCTCCTGGTGAGACACTCCTGCTCCAACCTGAAATAACCCTGGAGACCTCTGGTCCTCCTCCACCTCCTGCAGCTCTGGCAGGTCATCTGAGGAGACATCAACAGTAAAATCCACAATGAATGTGTGTGAAAGCTAAGTTTGCTTTTAAGTGTAATTTTGTGATAGTTTAGTTATGTTTACCATAATCCATGTGGCACCCAGGTGAGGAAGGTAGGTCCTCGTTGCACTTGAGTGGATCGAAAGACTCGTCCATTCTCACAATGTTTCAATGTTTTCTCGTTGTTGTTGTTTTTACAGGATGCAGTTTACTCAGCTTCCATCCTCATATTCTGCCACATCAGCTGGTTTTATGCAAAACAGAAGGGACAAAATGAGAGGTTTCACAAACAAAGTGAAACTGCTGCACAGTTCTGTTTAATTTAGAATGCTTTTTTAATGACACTTAAAAAACAACCACTCATAATTTATGAAAAATTAGTCTTTCTCATTGCATACATACGTCTGAATGGTGGTAGGCGGATTTTTTTAAAGTAACATGGTGTCTTTAAGACATAGTAAACGGATCAATGGAGCCAAAAAACATCAGCACAGGCTTATGCACATAATATATAAAAGGTTTCTAACCACAGCAAATAAAGAAATACCCCAGTATATAATCGACGCCAGACATGTCATGCATCGCCTCAATAAAAAGGAAAAGGTAGGCAGCCTTCAGGGAATCCTTTGTCTCTGAATCGACACAGTACACCTCTGTGACCAGTCATGTGACCCGCTGCGTGGAGGCCTTGTTTATAAACTTAAAAGCATTTGGCGCATGCGCATCAAAGCTCATTCATTCATAACTGCGTAGCCAAAGTGAAAAATACCAGAAATTCGTTTCGAGAAGTGGCGAATAAACCCTCGAAAACACGATGCTAAAGACAACATGAAAGAATATCAACCGAAGAGTAAAATGTCGTTTACTAATTTGAACATTTTGTCATGTTTGGCGACATGCAAAGTGTTAAAAATATCGTTGAAAATATGAAAGAAGCTGTGAACGTCAAATGAATCGGTTTACAACGAACTAACGGTTCTTTGCGTTCTGATGTGCGATCAACGGTCGCTGCACGCGCTGACAAACGGTTGATTTGACTTCCTTAACGCGGATATACATTAAACGTACCGTTAGAAAAACGCCTCAAAAGTATTTTCATGTCCGAAAATTTAACTCGAAGCTGGGGCCTCCTGTTTTCCCACTCCTCTGAAGCAGCAGCAGTGTCCTCAGCTCAAACCCAGAGGCTGTCGGGTCTAACACTGTAAACAAAAGAATGTCAACAAGTTGAGGCATGACGCAACCTCTGAGCCCCGTTCAAAATGAATGACACAAAAACACAGAGAAGCCTTTCAGCGACATTTTTGCACGACTCGAAGCACGTTTAACCAAACGAAGGACTTGTTCTGAAACACAAAACTGCTGTCGGGTGGGCTTGTTATCACCAAAACAACAAGCGTCACAGCGAAAAAAACACTGTCGACCACAATCTGCCTTTCGACATCAAATAAACGCGTGACAACCCCGCGAAAACACCGTGCTACAACTGTAAAGACACGATACACACAACGCGAGAGTTAAAAAGTAGTTTAAACCTTTAATTTATTCGAAAAAAAGTAGTCAACTTCCCACTTACCAAACCTGTCGACATCAAGAAACTCTCTGGCACTCACTCGAGGGGTGGGAATGAATGTTTACAGAAGAAGCCTCCTATTGGTGCAGGAGAACGTCAATTACAAGAATCCGGGGATTCTATTGGTCAATACTGCTGAGGAAAACATCATAGGCGGGGCCTTGTTTGTTGATCATCGCATGATTGGATGAAAATACATGCCTGTTACTAGCAAGTAACAGCTGATTGGCAATAACAGGAACAATACATGGTTATTTTTTATCTGCAATGTTGCAACTACAGCAACAAAAGTACGCACTGACATCGCTTTCTAGATTGTTTACCGTTTCCCTTGCAATTAAACAATCACTTTAACATTTTTACTACAAGATATAGCGAATAAACAAATGAATGTGTATGAATGAATGGCGAATGAATGAATGAAGCTCCAAATGTGTGCTATTCCAAATAGTTATGTGACAAGCAAATATAAAAATGTTCTTTATTGACATGAAAAGTGAAACATACAGTACTTTCAGCCAGTATTATGGGGTTTGCCTTCAAAAATTACCAGCACTACCTGCACAAAGGGGGGAGATAAATTCAGACTGTTTAAATGTTAAACCAGCTTTAAACATTTTAAGCTGCAGTAAACCACAGAGAAAATACAGAAGACTTCAATTATTGATTTAAAAAAATGGAGAGAGAGAGAGAAGAAGAGAGAGAGAAGACCCACTTTAGATTCCTGTTCAGAGGGAACATCATAGTATGTGTTTCCAAACAGTATAAGTTGTTGGCGGAGGTAGACAGCAATAATGGATGCCATAATCATGATTTCACCGACACGAAAACAATATGATTTAAATTTTACATTAAAACGCAAGGAAAATTAACTGTTTCAACACACTGCCTGCCTATAATGACTACAGTCTAGTGGGGCAACTTATTCAATTAAAGCTGGGCCTATATAATAACAGTAAATACTCAGTTTCAAATTGTACAGCAATGTGTTGTATATTCTTACAAAACTATCAGCTATCTCTCTGAAGTTTTTTTTTCTTTTTTGCAAAAGCATAGTATAAGGCTAACAGCCACGAACACACTTACCAACAATGATATACAGTTTATGAACACGTGTCCAAGGGATTAAATCTTGTGATGAACAGAAATGTACTTTGTAAAAATGTTAAAATACTGCCAAGTCTACATTCTGTTGTGATCAAAGTGTGAAATACTTATTTTATAAACTGTTATTCCTCCTCCATGTTGGGGCACTTTTGCACCGGTGCGCCTCATGCTGCCAAAAATGACGAGAAATGAAGAGATTGTGACAGATTTGCTCATAATTATCCAGTAAGAAATTAGCTTTGGCATCCGATGTTTAGAAATTTACAAATGATCTTATATTGTAGGTGTAACTGTAACACTGTGGCGAAAAGGTGAGCGTTAACAAAAGTGTTCAATATACAAACAAATAATGTGCCTGACACTGACGAGTAAAATGTGCGCTTACGTTTTTAAGGTGAGAGACGTGAGAAATCTAATTCAAACAAGCTTAATAAGCAACTCTGTGTTGGCTGACTTTCATCAAAACACTCTGTGGCAAACTAAATGAACCTTGTCTCGCAGGGGATTCTGGAGTAGTCTGTTTAATTTATCTGACACACGAATGTTGTAGTGGATATTCACATTTGTTGTAAGAAAAGCTTTTTAAGTGATTGTGGGGGAAAAACATCCATACAAGCCTCTTTGTTTGTTTTTGTTTTTTTTCATCCACCGATTGATTCATGGTCCATTGGAGCTGTCTCATGCACTTTGTTGCTCAATCTCAGCGCTACTGCCAAACAGGGTCACCAGCTGCTCCTCATAGTTGGCAATGTTCCTCTTCATGATGTCCATGCACGGGCCCAGCAATCTCTCGAATGCTTTGACATCCATGGCTGACCAAAGACAAAAAAAAAAAGATCACAGCAGTCAGACATAGTTTAAAGGTCCAGTGTGTAAGATTTACAGGGACTTAGTGGCATCTAGCGGTGAGGACTGCAGGTTGCAACCAGCTGAATCTTCTCTCGTTAGATTCATTTAGACCCTAATCACACAGAAAGCGTTCTGCGGGTTGCAAAATGCGAGGCGCACCGCACTGCCTTTTTTTTCAATTGAATGCCACTGGTGTAAAAAAACAACAACACAGTAATTAGTATCTAGTTCCTAAAATGTTGAGGCAGAGGATACTTGCTGTAGCTCTGGTTGAGGGTGAAAGCCTGTCAGCAAACAGTTCTTGGGCACAGGGAAACAGACATCTGTGTGGGTACATGAGACCCTAACAAAGAGGGTGGATCACAGGGAGTACCACCAGTTGGTCCAGGAGCTTCACCTCAACGATTGCCATTTTCAGGCATATTTTAGGATGATTCGGGGGCAGTTTGACCACTCCCTGTCTATAATCTGGCCATATAGCTCTGGGTGTCCAGCAACCACTACCACCAGTTTCTCCTCCATTGTTTACCAACTGTAAACTTGTTGTCGTGACCACCACAGGAGGCCCGCCTCTCTAATCATCTGATTGGGCAATGACAAAAAAGATGACCAAAAACAGAGATGACGTGGGGTGCTTTTCCGCTTTCAGTTGAAGTTTTTTCAACTTGAGAAATTCAGAGCACTCCAGCAAAAATGTCAGACGCTGAAGGCGCAGAAACAAGAGGCGCGTCACAACGCAAAAACCATGGGCAAAAAGCTTTACTCTCACTAAAATCATTTACAAAAAGCTGCCTCCAGCTGCTAAAATGCTTTCTGTGTGATAAGGGCCTCAATGTTCATTGTTCAGGAGGTTTGGAAGCCGAATTGTCTGCAGAGGTCTCTTCCTCTCTAAAACAAATGGACCAGGTGATTTAAACCAGTAAAACACCAAATAAAGCAGTTTCACAATACAAATCAAAGTTTCTTCAATGCTATTTGGCACATCACAAGAGCTTGCTAATGTATGCTCAACTATTTTCTTTTATAACTTGAGATCCAGACGTTCAGGAGGTTTTTCCAGGAGCCATATTATCCTGCAGAGGTCTCTTCCTCTCTAAAGCAAACGGTCCTGGTGATTTAAACCAATAATAAAACTTAATAAAGCAATTTCACACTAAAAAAATCTGTTTTTCTGACACTGCTCATCAAAGAGGGGTCTAACTATGGTAGATGACGCAAAAATGTGAATGGCCCTATCTAGAGCCAGTGTTTGGTGTGTCCATTCTGGGCTCTGTGGATGAGGACCTACTTCCTAAGTAAATATAAACAGCTCATTCTAAGGCAACAAAAACACAACACTTCTTATTTTCAGTTCATTATACACTAAAGAAAACATACTTTTATTATACTCTATTGCTGCCGATATATATCCCCCTAAAATCCTACACACTGGACCTTTAACAATCATGGAGAATAATATGAAATAACAAGTGGTATTCTGTGGAATTAGCGTGCTGGCTGCAATATATGAGTGATCATAAAATTGCACAAAATATACCCAAGCATTTGACGCTTCCCACAGCGTAGGCTGATGCAGCTCTGGGCTTGTTTGTGACAAGCGCCAACTCCCCGAAATACTGGCCCCTAGTGCATGTGGCAATATGCACCTCCTCATCCTCCTGGTCTTTTTTCGTCTGGCAAGAAAAGAAAAGCACAACTTAACATAGCAGGACACAGAAATAAAGAGTTTTTTGATATTAAAATTTAAGAGTAGACTGGGCAAACATACCCTGCTTCTCTTCATGGTGATTCTAACTTGGCCAGACTCGACAATGTAGAAGCAATCTGCTAAATCACCCTGGAATACAAAGCACAAAAATAAGACACTCGCTCTGTGGCAGCAGAAAATGATCAATCCAAGAACACATTATATAAAGAGATTCATCACCTGAGCAATAATCTGCTGTGAATCACTGTACACCTTGGTGGATATTACGTCCACTACCTTCATTCTCTCGGAGAGCTGTGAATGAAAGGATATTTGGTTGCCAATAGTTTCACTATAAATGCGTACTGCACTTTCTTCACTCAGAACAAAACTAATCTTAACCTCTAATGATGTAAGCAGTGGTAGCGTTTCAATGAATGCCTCATACAGCCTCCTTTTCTTGGCATTGTTCTTCACTATAATCCTCCTGAATGTCAGACGATCCTGAAACACAGATTTAAACACAAGGAAAACATTCAGGCATTTTTGATGAGTCATTACATACATAATGGAGAAGGGGGGGGGGGGCATTAGTCAGAAAATGGTGGTCCAATGTGACAGACAATTAATGAATATTGGTAAATGGTACTTGCACTTTTATAGTGCTTTTCTAGTCTCGACCACTCAAAGTGCTTTTACACTACATGTCTATCTATCTATCTATCTATACTTGGACATGAGAAGGAAGGAGCTGGGGACTGTACTGCAGATATTCTGATTTTTGGACGACCCCCTCTGAGCCACAGCAACCCTGCTGTTGTTGGGACAACAGCCAAAATAGGGGCTACAAAGTGTTTTTTTGTCATTGTGTATTAACTTATTTCTCTAATGGTACATTCCTAGTTTAAAGTTACTCCATGAAATTATTGTTCTTATTGTTTCTATTGTTGTTTCTTTTCATTTCTCTCTCTAGACTTTTCATTGCCTGTTAAAGGCGGGAATATCACGCTGTTATGCCGCCTTACTGTTCTGTACGTACGTCTGATTGTGGAAATGGGACAGAGTTGTCTCGCCTCTGAGCTGGCCACGGAGGTAGTAATAGCCCGAAACAAGGTCTATGTAAAACGTAAAGCCAGATAGACACGACCATGCGTGGAACGGATGTGATGTTTTGATTACGTGTTATGTTGGCGACCCACCACGGGGAAAAGAAGCTGTTAGCAGTTAGTAGCTAACTCAAAGACGAAAAACAGCAGCTGTAAATGTCGGCAAATCAGGAAAGCAATGAGATTCGGAAGTTCCTTACCCTCTGAGCAGAGGACAAGATCAGCCTTCTATGACTGTGAAATGATTGTGTATGACAAGTTGTGCCATTGTTGTAGTTTAGAAAGCGCTGCAACACGTATGTTACATGTCACACTAGAGGCCAATGCTGTTGTGTTACATGTGAGGCCTCTTTTGATTGCCAGGATGCAGTGTATAATCACACACTGGGGCAGACTGATGCCGCTTTCGTTTGGTCCTGTAAAAATGCAAAGGAGGCATAAAGAAGGGACTTTGTAGCAGCCCTATAGCATGATCTCTGTGTGAAAAGGGTTTCTCTTTCTTTTTCTTTCTCTCTCTCTGTCTGTACAATACTGTAGTTTTAATTTGTTGATCTGTTCTGTGCACACAACATCTATTGCAAGTCCTGGAAGAGGGGTCCCTCCTCAGCGGCTCTTCCTGAGGTTTCTACCATTTTTCCCTGTTAAAGGGAATTTTTGGGGGAGTTGTTCCTTATCTGCTGTGAGGGTCCAAGGACAGAGGGATGTCAGATGTTGTAAAGCTCTCCAAGGAAAACTGCGATTTGTGATATTGGGCTTTATATATGATTGAATTGAAAGTTTAAAAGATTGGGGTCTAGGGAGGCAGGGGTGGTGGGTGGGGTCAATGTGAAAGTGTAGAGCAGTGGTTCGCAACCTAAGTAAACTGACTCCTGACTCAGTGACATATTTTATGGCAGTTTCATATTACATTCAGTGCATAACAAGAAAAGTACAGAACAGCTGATAACCTGTACAATCAACCGAAACAGTGAGTGCAACAACTGCAGGACGTCTGTGAAAAATGAGCGATTTGGATGAGATTATTTCCTGATACAGTAGTAACTGTTTTATATGATTCTCTGTATCGTGTATTTTTGTTTATTTACGTTTTTTTTAATCACACATACTTAATAGACTCCCTTTTTTTGACAAATTCAGTGTTTTCTTCTCCCTGACACTGCTATATTCTTTTCCTAGCTCTTTGGTTGTTTTAACTGCATACTTTTCTAATGCAGGCTGAGGCTGTTCAGCAGAGAGTGAAGACTCTGTGAATATAGTTTGTGTTCAGGTCTTAACTGTGCCCTTATCCTGTGAGATTTTTTAAAGTTTGTATACTGAATATTAATCTAAATTTTAAAAAATAATTCAATTTAGTTTACTTCACAGAAATGAATGAAATGCTGAGATACAGGCCCACTGAATATATATTTTGAGGCTGTCTTACACTACTTTAAGTCAAGCAGGCCTTGCAACCCCCTGTGAAGCTTTGGGGGTATCACTGTGGTGCCTCACTGCTTTCACTTCTGTAAATAAATAATAAATAAAATGTCATTTTCAGCATATGCATATTTAGTGTGATATTGTTTCACAGCGCCGGGCTTTTTAAATGTGATCACACATTTTCTGATTAAGGTATATGGGGAAAAAGACTTTAATGAATAGGTCAATTTATCTTTTCTAATAATATGTTGATTTATGTTAATGTGTATTTTAAGATGAATTTTAATTTAAAAAACTTTATTAAAACTTAAATTATTAAACAATATTTCGGCGGCCCCGTGCAGGTAACTCTGAAGACCTCCTATGGGTTGAACACCCTCTGTTGAAGACCCAGGGTTTTGACTCAAATAATGGCAAGCACTATACTGCAGGAAACATGACCACAGCGCCCTCTAGCTGGGGAAAGAAACACTCCCTACATAAGAAGCATACACAGCTCTTACTCTGTGGTAAAGTGGTCAGCAGAGTCAGTCCCGTAGGCACGCAGACTCAACATACTGCAGCTTTAACATCCCACCAGTCTGCCACAATGTGAGCTGTATAAATCCCAGACCTCAATTAGACTCTGTCTATAGACTACTGTTTGCTCAGAGGCCCCACAGCAGCACTGTCCCTCCTCGACCTTGGGGGGATTGCCAGTTGAACGGGAACTGGCTGCTTGTTCACAGACTCAGACACACACAATGCAAGTAACCAGGTCAACAAAGGATACAGCTGCAACCTGCCCAGCTCGCACACAGATGACATAACAAAGCTGTTACCCACAGTTTGAGGACACGACCCTAACTGAGTCATTAATGAACAAGCTGCTTCTTCACAGATCGAGTAGCAACTGAATATTCACAACAGCTGTTCTGGACGCAATTTGTAAAAGAGTTGGATGTTGTCAAACTAGAAAACTGAAATTTTACTTAAAAATAGTAATGCAGGAGCGACACTGGACGTACTTGCTTGAATAAACAAGTTCAGCTGATCTGATAGCTGAGCTCTCTGAATGGGCTGCAAGACCTTTTTTAATAGGCCTGTATTACATTCATGATTTTTTCATACTCAGTATGCACGTTCATTAGCTTTAATCTATGCATTAATGAACATGTAAATTCATATCCAGGGGCACGATGAGTGCTCTCTCACTTTTTGCTTCATTCAGTGGGTTTTCCACAGTACGATATCTCAGTCAGTCAACATGATCTCACCTACGGTGCCAACACTGCCACAGACTACCTGGATATTTACAGTAAATCACTGACAGCACAGCGTGTTATAAAAACCCGAGCACGGAGCCAACTGTGCTCCTGCATGAGGATTTAATGGTTTACTCACTAGGCACCAAAGGGCTCCAGGCGAGGTGGCGATTATTGTGGCTGCCCTGGGGGTGTTGTACATCAGCGCCAGTTCTCCAAAGCTGCCTCGGTTGTCATAGCTGCCTACCAGCTTCTCTGTGCCTTCGACCTTCACGAAAATGTTAAACGTCCCACTGAATAAAAATACAAAGGAAAAAATCAGGGAAAATGTAAATGCACAGCTGACAAATTGGTGTGTCCAGAAATCTTAAATCAGCAGGATTATGTGATAAATACATGAATTTTAAAGTTAAAACAATCAATCAATAAGCAATTTTGTGAAAGATCACCTCTCAATAACATAAAAGTTGTCCCCATCGTCATCTTGATCAATGATGTGCTCCCCTTCAGTACAGAACTTCTCAAACATGGCATCAAGCACCTGAGACATCTCCTCCTGCGACGATGTGAAACATCAGTAAAATACATGAATGTCACGTGTAGAAACGATCACACAGAACCCGCTCAGCGTGCTGTTTCACCTACTTGAAAATAACCATCTTTTCAAATCATGCGTAGTGCACTGAGCTGTGGCAAAAAGTTGCTGGCCTCAGGCCGTGTTCTCCTTTGTGTAATTTAAGAGATGGCAGAGCACAAGCCAGAGGAGCACGGAGCGTTTATGGAACAATCCACTCACCGGATCCAAATTCTTGAACAGAAGAATGTCCCAACATGCTTCCTGTAGTCTCTGTCTCTGCTCATCGGTTTTTGGGTGGGTGACCTGCAAGTTGAAGCACAGGTCTTGTGATGTGACCCTATGATAGCCTGAATGTTGAAATTCAGATTCAGAGCTACAATTCATGCTGTCTGGAAAAAATCAACCTCAATATTAAGACAGGATATTTGTGGTATGAAAGTTTACCCGTGGCTCTTTCTCCTCGTCATCTTCATCAGGATTGAACGCTTCAGCACACACTGCACCACAGAGAACAACAGATTAATAATAAACTAGATACAGACAGCAAATTTCTCAAAAAAATCAAATTTCAGCGCAAAGACAGAACATTTGGAAACAACAACATCTTAACTCAAACACTTAAGAATAAAGCTTCATATTTAAGTGACCCAGCAGCACAACTTTCATCCCACTCTAACAACAGACACTGAATCTCTGGGATGATTCAGCGGCAATAAATCTTTCAAGAATAACAACTTTTCTCCTCTTAAGTGTGGGGCTTTGGGGGGATGCGGTGACGCTGGTGGCAGTCATACTACATTTCCTTCCTGTGTTTTAACGACAAGATGCTGTAGTCATAACAATCTTTCACTGGAATAAATCTAGTGTCTTTAAAAATGCTTTTTATTTCAATTCATTAATGGGGGAAATGTACTTTAATTCAGCAAAAGCATAACACTTAAACCCCCTCAACCTTGATGACAGAATATCTATACCCCTGTAACAGTACTTTATTAAATATTTTTTTATGTTATATATAAGTACACATTCTTTGGTTTCATGTTTAGTCTACTAAAAATGTAATTTCTCATCTGTTTATTGTGTGTTTCATTGACCCAATGATGATTTTGTCCCTCTGTGTTTGCACGTGGGAATGGGATTGGTTGTGGAGAAACGACCACTCCCTATTTAAGATGGCTTCTCATGACCAAAAAATTGTTTGCCTGATGAAGGTCTAGTACCAAAATGTCGCAAATAAATTATATATTGCAAGTTGGACAGTGTGCGGGAGTCCTTTTGAAGTGATAAAAGGTAAAAATATGCTTCACGTTACTGAATGCTTTCACTCAACAGTCAAAGGAGTTAATTTGTGGAATGTGAAATGTGTAACATACATAACAGATTTAAAGCAAATGTCTAAAAATATGATGATGAACAAATAAAAAACTGAGTTATGAAAACAAGTGTGTGCATATGAATTTTTGTTTGTGACTTTTATGTATATATCATATACATATACCGTAAAACTTCAATTAAACGCCCAGTCCCTTTTACTAGCCGGGTGTAGCTACACATGTTGATGAATACAGGCCTGCCTCAATTAGAGGCCTGGGGTCTCATTGATGAAACATTGCGTAGGATCCATGCAGAAAATGTACATACAGACAAAAGCCAAAAATCTGCAAAAATATTTGACAATTTCTACAATCAGGCTTCCACCTCACCATTTGCGTCACTAATTTCCCCTCTACAAAATGTTGGTAAGCATGGGTTAAATGTTTCTCCCATGAAGGCTGTTTTTATAGATCACAACTTTTGCATGGGAAGTGGCCTACGCTTCTTTCAGGCCTTGTTTTGTGCATACACAATGTTTATAAATGAGAACCCTGGTCTTGTTGCCAAGCAGTTAATTTTAACTGGAAAGTTGGCTACCCTCTTGAGCTAATGTTAGTTGAGAATGAGAATGAGATCGCGGATACAAGTGGCTGAAATGAGTTCCCTCAGAAAGGTAGCTGGGCTCAGCCTTAGAGATAGGGTGAGGAGCTCGGAGTAGAGCCGCTGCTCCTTCGCGACGAAAGGGGTCAGTTGAGGTGGTTCCGGCATCTGATCAGATGCCTCCTGGGCGCCTCCCATTTAGAGGTGTTTTGGGCACGTTCCACTGGAAGAAGGCCCCCCGGCAGACCCAGAACACGCTGGAGGGATTACATATCTCATCTGGCCTGGGAACACCTTGGGGTCCTCCAGGAGGAGAAAGAAAGCGCTGCTAAGGAGAGGGATGTCTGGAGTGCTTTGCTCGCCCTGCTGCCCCTGCGACCTGGCCCCGGATAAGCGGATGAAAATGGATGGATGGATGGACGGATGGATGGATGGATGGAATAAGGAGATGCTACACATTATTAGCTCGGTTGATTTCAATTTACTGAAACCCTGAGCACCAGAGAAGACCACAAGTCATTGAGGATTACCGGCATGATGAAAAAACAAGTGGTGACTCCCTTCTCTTGAATCATAAAGTCAGAATATGTGTCCATTCCTCAATTACCCAATAAGTGTTTTTAATTTAAAGTAATCCAAGTTATGAATATTGTTTTAACAGGATAATTAAGTATTGTCTTGGTATAACAAGGGTCATAACATGTAATTGATGATATTCAAAGCCTACTCTTTATCCATGTAATATTTACACTGGTTCAAATTAACAATTTGATTTTATATCCCATTTTTGTTGAGCGACAGTTTTGTGTAAAAGGAATTAAAGGCCTGTCCCATATAGACGCCTCTCCCTAATATAAGCCTGTTGACTTCAGTGATTTAAGCAAATAATTCTGGGCTACAGTATTTTGTTTTGCTTGTTTCTTTCATTTTCATCGTGGGTGCAAAAAACTACACCTTCTCAGTCAGCAATAGTTTTGGTTTGTTACTGCTTCAAAAGTAAAGATTTATTATTGTTATATTTTTTTTCTCATGCGTATTTGAGTTGGAAAATGACTCGTAATAAACTCAACTTGCTCATACTTTCCATTCACACTGTCAAACATGAAGATCAGTCCTAACACAGCTTAGTTATATTTGCACAGCCGGCATGTTACTATTATCATGAGCAGGAGATTATTAGTAGTTGGAGTACTTCTCTTCATCTCCCCTCCCACGTCACTCTCTGACATTATTAACCAGGCTGGAGACAAAGTGGTTTCACAAACTCTAATAAATCAACAATATTATATTAAGCTGGAGACAGTGAGCAAAGACAGATGGAAAAATACTTGTACTGGAGAAAATCTGACGTAGTCCCAGTCTTCATATGTCAAATAAGTTTTATATGTTTTCAGCACTGACACTGTCCAGAGTTTTCCTCTTTGACAGAGCAGGCTTGAAACAGCCGGCGAATGACAACTCACCTGATGCTCTTCTGATGAATCTGTTTATCACCGGTGCTGCAAAAGCACAAAAATATATATTAATGTTAGATTTACTTCATGATGACATACATCTCACAGTGACTGAATCACTGCTGGGAAGGGTTGGATTAATGCACTGTGCTTCTGCATCACATGTGCAGTGGAGTACACCCAGCCCTGTGCTCACTAAGGACCCATATTCATTTGGGTAAAACCTGAATAAGGACAGCTGCTTTGAAGTGCGTTTGAAATTTGAATGAGAAGAAAAATTCAAATGTAAAACACAGCATAAAGTGCTAAGCTGCCACACAATAGTCTCGGTATGAAATATACATTAGAGGAGGTCTCGTCCATTAATGGGCTGCAGGCCAGTGTTGTCCACGGAGGCTCATTGGAATATGATTTAGACAAAGCAGTGGAGGAGTGATGGGGTGCAATCCTCACCCAAAAATACTGCCATAGTTAGTTTAATGAGTTAATATAGTGTCTTTATGTAACCATTGCAGCCAGCCTTGCAGACCCCACCACTCATTGGGATGCTGTGTCAGAGCTCTGGGTTGCTATGCTACTTGCTGCACCTTATGGCAAAACTGCACCGGCCATTGTGTTGCATGTGACCACAGTTTAGGAAGCACAAATCCATCTAGGGGTGGTAAAACTCATATGCTGCATATGTTGCATCATAGCAGATGTTTAGATTTCTGCCTTTAGCTGCTTTGTCATATTTCTGATCCATCATGAGGGCAGGCCCACGAGGCCTGCACCTGAAACTGACAATATTCAAATGACCTAGAGGTGCAGCTCTGTTTGGAAAACACACAGTCCCCTTTTTTGTGCAGCTGCTGTGCCTTAACGCTGGGCTTATCACAAAAACGTGTCTGCACAGATGAAGAACAAGACACGCTCATTAACCATCATTCAGCCTCCGTGACCATATATGGCAAATGACAGAGCCGTGGTGGATGCAAGGTGGCGAGCAGCGGAGCATCACTGCGCTCAATGTGTCTCTCCCACTGCACAGATACATGCTCATTATTCTACATACATGAAGGACATCCGCTGTCACACATGCTGCTGACATTAATAAATATGTCGCCCTACCTATGAATTCCTCGTCATCGTCGTCCTCCTCCTCCTCCTCTCCGTTTTCAGAATCGATCTGCATGGCTTCGTCAATGAAATTGACCGCTTTTCCAGGTCTTGGGGCCGAATTTTGGTCATTGCCAAAAGAGGCCTCTTTGGTTTCACGCTCCTTCAGCTGGGTGAAGTACTGTAACGCAAACTCGAGCAAATCCCTGGGCTGATTCCTCAACACTTCCACGGTAAAGCTCTGTAACAGCTCCGTCAGTCCTTCAGGAATTTCTATACTCATTCCTGTTATCAGTCTATGGATGTGGACAAAACCGGTTTGCTGCAAATTTTTCAAAATGGTCAAAAACACACAGATGAGATGGAAAAAAGCCCCAAAATAAGCAGACGGGTGTAGTCAGAGCCACCCAGTCAGTCAGCGAGCCATCCACAGCGGATCCTCTCGTTTTCTTGAATGAAAATGGCTCTGGATTTTGCGTCCAAGCATCTTCTGCTGCTTCTGGCTACAGGAAACCCACGCATGTGACCCAGGAATCCATGGCAACCACCCATCCAGGGATTGCGTATGAGCAGCAGCAGCAGCGCACAAACTGCAGTCAGTCGCAAAATACAAATTATGGGAAAGAGAAACCCTCGGGTCTATCAGTCAGAGAGAGATTTTCACTGAGAGGGAAGAGATATCAGATGTTAGTATTGTGTCTGTGGTCCGGTAGCAGGAAGGTTTAAATTAAAAAAAAAAAAAATCATAATCTAATTTTTAAAAAGATGTGAATATAAAATAATAGCAATAATAATAATAATAATAATTGCAGCAAGCAATAGTCTAACAGCACTGCTAAATAAATACTACATTTCAGGAAAGGAGTCTGTATAAACCTGCTGTAAGAACAGTGTGGCACTCCAGCTTAATTCCAATCATTAATTACATTTACAATCTAATTAATTGCCTTGAGACACAGTCTCATTATAGATGGACTGTCCCTTTAATAGCAGCAGCAATTTAAACCCTATTTCTTGTTCCAGAGGGAGAAGAAATAATAAATCTGATGCATATTTTTAATAACCTTTCAGAACATTGTGACTCCCAGGCAAATACTGTAAGCTGACACAGAGCTTCATTACAGGATGAAACATTCTGAACTGAATATTCTTGGTCTGAGACAGGTGATGAATGATGCAGTCATTTTGGCAGTTAAATATCAGCAATCGTGAGTTGTTTATGAATAGACAAAACGGCAGAAACTAGACCTTTCTTCTGGTGTTCACATGTGAACTTAAAGGTCCAGTGTGTGAGGTTTAGGGGGGATTTAGTGGCATCTAGTGGTGAGAACTGCAGATTGCAACCAGCTGAAACTTCTCCCAGTTGGGATTCCTGCAGTGTTCATTGTTCAGGAGGTTTTAACCGGGAGCTGAATTATCCACAGAGGTCACTTTCACTCCAAAACAAACGGACCTGGTGATTAAAACTAGGGAAAACACTGGCTTAAGCAATTTCAGATTACAAATCAGTGTTTTCCCACACTGCTAGCCCAGCAACTGCAAATGTGTGCTCACCTTTTTTCTCTGATAACTTAAGACTCCAGACGTTTAGGAGGTTTTAACTGGAAGCAGAATTATCTGTAGAGGTCTCTTTCTCCCTAAAACCGACACATTCTCACTCTGGCCTCGTCAAATATCTACGTTCAATCATGGACTTTCCACGTCCAGATACAACGTGCAAGGTACCCTGGGTGCGTTGGTTAATGAAGTTCTGCCTGTTACACACATTGTCTTCTTTCAGAATAGAATAGAATAGAATAGAAGCTTTTATTGTTATTGCAAACCAGATACAACGAAATTTCAAAATATACTTCCGTTTTCAAAGGAAATTTACCGTTTTCATACAGTCTCTTTCAAAATAAAAGCACTACGCCGGTAAAACACTGCAAATTGACATTTTTTGGCCTTCAACAACTAACGCACATGGTTGGCTTTAGGCAACAAAAACACGGACCCATCCACCACCCATCCCAGCCACCCTACTCTGACTTTCATTGCCCTAACTTTCTTTTGTGTCTGCTGCGTTTCCCCTGACACCACCGAGCACCACTGAATAACAGCGACCGGCTGCGTATCATGCTAACGTTAAAGGACGGCTATTTCGTCAGTGTCTGATGTTCCAAGACACTGCCCAAGCATCAGATTTCGTCAACTTCGGAGTGAGACTGTGTTGCTAAACAAATGGACCTGGTGATTTAAACTGCTTAAAACACTGACTTAAGTAATTTTAGATTAAATAATCTGTGTTTTACCAACACAGCTCATCTTGGAGAGGCTGATAACTATAGTAGCAAACACAAAAATGCGAATGGCCCCATCTAGAGCCAGTGTTTGGTGTGTCCATCCTGGGCTACTGTAAAAACATGGCAGACTATGTGAACGAGGACTTGCTTCATATGTACATATAAATGGCTCATGCTAATAAAACATAAACACAAAGATTCCTATTTGTAGGTGATTAGACACTAAAGAACACATACTTATTATATTCCATTTCTGCCAATACATACCCCTAAATCCTACACACTGGACCTTTAAACCTGTAAAACTGGCAAATCCTTCCAACTGTGCTCTTACATTTAACACTTTCAGGTTACTTAGCTCAACTTTAAACACAACACAGCTGATCAGGCAGAAACACAACAAAAGAAAAGAGCGGACAAGGAAAGATCAAATAAAGGTCATATTTATGAGGAGACAACACACTCAGGTGAGATATGTGGCTTTTACATATGACTCAGCTAAATGTGTTGTCTCATGAGCAAGTAAAAGTGAGTTGTAAGTAAATTTCAAAGACCATATGGAAGGAGGAAGGGAAACCTGGAAATATAAAGTTTTGGGGCAGCGGAAAGCCTCATCAGCAAAGCCTTTAGTCCTGGATTAGGAACAGAGTAAAACCTTTGGTCAGAGGATCTGAAGTGAGTGTTTTTACTGGGACACATGGTGCAACTGCTACTGTAAGAAAACCCCTGAGACTGCCAAATGTGTAACAACCGTCCTTTGTGTGTGCCACATTGTAGGATTATCATATTGTGTTGGAATTGGATGGTGGTGAGCAAAGAGCAAAGAGAGATGAAGGAATAATTCTCACGGCAGGGAATCACTTGACGGAAAAAAGAAATCTGCCAAAAGAGCAGAGCTATTATCTGCCATGGTTGTCTTTGGCTCTGTTATGAGACCCTTCCCCCTGCTGTGGCCCATATCTGTCACTCTCCATTAAGAAAACACATTTTCTCACTCAAGCAAACATATGGGAGCACATCCATGGAGTGACCAAGTAACGCTGCTGCTCCTGCTGCTCCCAGACTCACCATTAAAGGCTTCTATGGTGAGGTGTCCACCACAGGGATTTTGTTTGTTTGTTACCTACAGTAAGAAGATATCAGAGACATCTGTTTAGTAAAAAACAAACACTGTGCATCAGCCCTGCTCTCTGACCCGTACATCCTGCACATTGTTACTGCTTGATGCTTCTCAACAGACCAATGGAGCCTGCAGCTGTGGAGCTTCAAAATCATCTTTAGGTTGCAATAAGAGATTGAACTGTCATTTACAAAACCATTGTTTTCTCAATATCTTCATGATGACTTGGCAATATTAGTGAAAATTATCATTAAAAAAATATTCTAAATTGGTCTCATGTAACACACTTATTTTAATTATTAATGTGTTGTTCATTTATTTTACACAAATACTTTAAATAGTAAATAAATACAGTTTTTTAAATAACTTCAATGTAATGTCTCCCAGTGACTCAAATTTAATATCAAAACATATCACAACACAGAACATATGACACATGTAAATATATAAATTGTTTTATGAAAAAAACTATGATTTTATTTTCTACAATAACTTCTGGTGTCACATTTAGTTTAATTTACATTCACAAAAAACACTGAAAACTGTTGTAATTATGAGAAGTTAGTCATTAAAATGTAGAAGCCAATATTCTGTCTGTAATATGAATTAATATCTTAATTAATATGAATAAATATAAAATAGAAGAAAAGAAGTTCTAATATTATTTTAAAAAACATAACAAAAGAAAAAAAATCACATCACTGTATTTTTAGTTGGATCCGGCCACAGTTGTGGACAGACATATGGAAAGAAGAAAAAAAATAAATAAAATAAATGAATAAATTTAAAAAAAAAAATCATGTAATTTTAGTTACACGCACCAGTGCATGGACACATAAAAGTATTTTGAGCCCTGAGAAGGAATCAATAGTATGTGGTTTACTGTATATACATGCAGGAGTTGGCTTCTGTCTGATAAGCTGACGGACATGTTGATGACACATAATAAAAAACCTCCAGCTTCCAAATTGAAAATAAAGTCGAATCAACATCTCTAAAACACTTTGAACATAGACTGAACATTAAAACCCTCATGAATGTAAAGTACATGCTGCCATCTGCAGGTGAAGACAAGCAGCGCAGGGTCAGGCTACAATGCAAACTATACAACAGTAGCTTTAAAAGATATTTTACTCTATGTTAACAACTCTCACATGCTGTCATCAAAACTACTTAAGTATGAGAACCACTGGGAGGCATAAAACAGATGTGACATTAGCCCAGAGGTTTATTAATTGTCAGTATCATGTAAAAAAAACACATGCACAATATGTGTAGTTTCAGTTTTGTCTTCCTTCTTATGAACACACCCTATTGTATGGTGCCAGTTATGTTTTCAACATGTGGGTGAGTGTGCCACCTACTGGACATCATCTTGTAATGCAATGTTTGTAGCACTGTGATATCTGCTCTTTACATGCATCTCTCATGAATCATGCTGGTGTATAGTCAGATCCTCCATTAATGCACATATCACATATGTCACTGTATGTAGTACAAATTTGGCACATATTAGATCATTGCCGGAGAGAAGAGAGCCACATTGTCTCTATTCAGGAGATGTCGAGGAGGGCCAACATGAAATATGAATATTTGCAGAAATTTCAGGTTTTTTATAGTAAAATAATTTTTGATTTTATTTTTATCTTTTTAGTATTATGCTAGTGAAGATGATAAAATTGACTGAAATGTAACACTTCATTACAAGTATATCTTAAGTAACCTGTAGATTTTACGCCACACATTTATTAGATAACGTGTAAAAAATATTTACAGGTAAGTAATTTTTTATTTCTTATTGTGTTTTATTGTAAAGATGTTTAGTAAACCATGACGAGCCGTGGCCCTGCTGAGGTTTCTTAATGCCTTTCAAGTCTCCACAAGAGACAGATGTTGAGACAAGTCAGTCTGATTTGATCTTATCAGAATTCAGAGTTGTAACAACAAACCACGCACAGAAGCCGCTGATAAGAAATGTCAACCATGTGGTACCTGCTGAAGTCATGACACTTACCCAGTGACAAAAAATACACTCAGACTTGACTTGATTTTGATGTCATATTGATTCACAAACAATCACCATGTAAAGATAATAACTTCCTGTTAATGCAATGCTGTTCTTCACCTTCACCTGGTCAGTTATCAGTATGTGATTTTCCACTCAGT